ATGAGCGCCGTCACGCAGCCAGCAACGGCCGACCACCAAACAACTCCTACCAAGAAGCGCCGATGAGTCGTCCAGTCGGGCACCGTCCCAACGCACTCTGCACATGCTCGATGCGACGCCGAAGCTCGCGCCGCCTTCTTGTAACATAGCCTAGTATGTACACTAGTTGTCATCCAAGTCAAGTTCGCCACATACAATACGACACCCTGTTGACCACAGCAATTAACTTCTGCTCTATGCGTCTTGATACGGCTCATATATTGCTTTCGTGAACCCTCGACAGCGTGCGATAGATACCGCAAACGGTACTATGGGAGAGCGAGTTCACCAGAGTTCCCCCTGGCTTCACCCTATTCAGGCAAAGTTCACAATCTTTCGGGTACCAACATATATGGTCATACAGTACCATCCCAACAAGAAACACATCGATGCAATCGAATGTTTACGACAATAACAAAATTATGCCCACATTGCTTACTGTTAGGCCATGTTGTAGGCCGGCAGCGTGTCCTTGGCGCCGAACGAGCACTTGCCGGCGTCGTACGCCTTGGCCTGCGTCGCCATTTGCGCGAGTGCGCAGCAGCCGCAAAAGAGCGAGTAGAAGCAGTCTTCGAACTGCGAGCCCGGGATCTGCAGCAGCGTGCGCACTTTGGTGCGAATCTGGAAAAGCATCAAGAACCCAAGCGCAAACAGCACACACTCGACGATCGAGATGGTCTCCGAGGTGTTGGCCAAGGCGGAGCAGACCGCCATGCCAACCCAAATAATGCCGTACACCAAGAGCACCTTCGAATACGAGTACAAGCCGAGGCGGTGCGTCGTCTGCGCAAGCGATACGCACGGGCAGCAGGTCGCCATGAGGCAGTTGGGCATGAAAGAGCTGAAGCAGCCAAAAATACCGGCCTCCCACTTGCCGACCGTGAGGGCCGCCGCGTTGTCGTTGTAGCTGCCCGCTTGCGGCGCAGAGTCGTGCTGAGGCGTCGAATGCATGTTGGAGTCGAGACGAAAGGAAAAGTGAGCGAGATAACCG